AATCTTACGATTTAGAAAGAAAACAACCAACCTAATATCCCCTAATGGTAAGCAAAGTTGTGACAAAAATGAGAATTATAGTTATATTGGTTGCAACTTACAAGACTGATGTTAACGTTATTCACATTGTTTGACCAAACTATTTTTTTAAGGGTGATATAGGTTTACATTTTGTGATTAAATACTATTGAAAGAATTTGAATTTTGAACCTACAAGTTCAATGCTAATAGTTTTACCTCTAGACCAGTCCTATACTTGGTTGTAATGTCCATTTCCCTATTATACTAGGTTGGAACAACTCCCTATTATATAGGTTACTAAAATATATATAAAGAAGTGTAATGACCATTTCCTTTGGAAAGATAAGTTCTTCAGTAGTAGGTACGTAATAAGAAGAAGAAGAAAGGGTGATTGGACAGAAAGAAAGGTGATCGATTAAGTAGACTTCGTCGGCTCGTATTCGTTGACGAAGATTGAGGTGGGCTTTGTATCAAACCTCAGCCCACACACGGTTGCTCAGTCCAATTCACCAATTCCAAAGTCACAAAAGCCCATCATATTTGAAACTTCTTCACTTGTTACTTCTCGCCTTCTGAATTACCTCCAAAACAGAGGAGTTTTGAACATAGCACAAGAAGTTGAAAAAACAAAAAACTAGAGGAAGAGATGGCACATAATTTTTTTTTTTAATCGAGTTCATCCTATTACTTACATCTTAGCTCAAGGGTGTTTGCCATTTGAGACCTAGTTTCTTAGAGTGTTATCTTGTTGATTCCACTAACTCCAACTGAATCTCTTTGGTTGGGACTTGGGAGTTAAACCTCTCTACTGGAAAATTATCTCCCTCTCTTCCTCACTAGCTTGACACTAAAGAGAGAGCTTAAAGGCTTGCAACACTTAAGCAATCTACGGTGATCATACTCACTCAATGATTTTCATCTGTTGTTAATCACAGAGTATTTACATATACTGATTTCTTTCCAGGATTATATTCCCTCCTTTCTTCAAAGGGGTGAAAGTAGCTTATGTTTTGTTTCTTGCCTTTCCAAATCTCAGGGAGAGTCTTATTTAGCCTCCCTTTAATAAGAAATTAATTTTTTTATATAACATGTTATATTTACAGCCTCAACCAAGAAAAGCTTGTGATATATTAAACTCTTGTAGTACAACTCTTCCTATTTCTTCCAATGTATTATTTTTACTTTCCACAACACCATTATGTGAGGAGTTTTGAGGGAAAAAGTGATTATAGCTAATTTCTCATTCATAACATAAAGATTCCAAAGGATGGCTATCAAATTCACACATGATCATTCCTATTTCCTAACACTCATTATAGTAAGTTCCTTTTCAACTTGTATTTTGTGACATCTTCAATTGACATGTTTTGTTTCACAAAGATAACCCGTGTGTAGCTTGAAAAGTCATCTACAATGACGAAAACATACATAGTATTTTCCTTCATGGTATGATTTGGCCAAATACGTAAATGTGCTTTAGGTCTAGGATGCGTTTTGTGGCGATGTCAGCTTTATTTTTCGAAAGACTCTTTTGTTTACCTAAGATACAAGCATCACAGAGAAACACGACCTTTATTCTTAAAAGGGTTAATACCCTAATTTGGCCCGAAGTTTAGCGTTAGTGACAGTTTTGGCCCCATTTTTTAAATAAGACGTTTATGACCTACTTTTAAAATTATTGGACAAATTTGGCATATATGAATGTTTGACTGTGAGGATTAACGGTCAACCATTTAGCCCGTTAATGACTCAGCTTTCACCGGTGACTAGACTCATCCACGTCATTTGAAAATTAAATATAAACAAAACAAAAGGGAATGGTCCACCCCAACAAAACTTTCCCTTTAATTCCTTATCCCCTTTCTTCCTCTTCGTCGTCTCCTCCTCACCCAGCCTGATCGAGACTCCGAACAAAATCGAGGCAAGCCCGATGGCGACCCCGGCCTAGGGAAGACGGTCCGCTTGAACTCCGACGACGACCACCGCCACTCCTACTCCTCTGAATCCCATGCGCACTGTCCGACTTCTGCTGGCTTCCATCGTTTGGCGGTGAGATAACTCGACGGCGGAGATCCCCTGAGGAGAGGAGTTTGCGGCGGAGACGACGGGCAGAGGAAGAGACTGAGAAAACCAATCTAGTCTCTATAGCTAGTGGAGCCGGAGGGGGAGCATTCTATATGGGCGAATATTTGTTCACGGGAGAGAAAGCTAAAAGGGGGAAAAGTTCTGAATCGTTGGAAATATGCAGATTCATTTGCGCAAGACAAAATTGTCAAAATGGAAGGTATACTGGGATGGGGGATATGTGGAATGATGATGGGATGTCATAATAGTCTTTGAGAATCATATGTGGGGGTGGTACGTGAACTGTAGGTTTTCCCGACGGCATGCCTTCTTTCCCCCGCCGATGGCGTCAAGGGCTATGCTCGCGAACTGCGGATAGAAGTGGTCGTCGTGGGGTCGAAGTCCAAGTCGCAGATCGTGTGGGCGGGGATGATCTCGGAAATCCCCAACTGCTTCATCATCTCCGACGCGGTCGTTGTGGGTCGCGGTGCGGCGCCGGCTGGACGGTGGGGAAGATGAAGAAGAAGTTGCCGCGGGTGTTTAGATAAGGAGGCAGCATATAGATTTAGGGTTTGGTTGGAGTTTTGGGATAAGAGGGGATTTCTTTAATTTGTTAATTTTGAATTTTAATTGAATTATAAAATTAAAATAATATTATTTAATGATGTGGCATGCCACATCAGCTGTTTTTTTCTGAATCACTGACGGAATAGTGTTTGACCGTCAATATTAACAGTCAAAGAAAATTCCGGGCCAAGTTTGTCCATTAATTTCAAAAGTAGGCCATAAACGTCTTATTTGAAAAATGGGGCCAAAACTGTCACTAACGCTAAACTTCAGGCCTAACTAGGGTATTAACCCTTCTTAAAACTAGTATTTTATCTAAGACATATTTCATAAGCTTGTAAGAAATTTTCATGCACCCTTTCCCGAATGCATAGTTATCCCTGACCAATTTTTGAATCTCCTTCACATGCATGGACTGCCTGCAAAATAGAGGAGTTCTGAGCATGGCACGAGAAACTAAAACACAAAACTGTTGTAGGAAGAGGATGACACATAAATTTCTTGTTAACCGAGTTAAGTTTATTGCTTATATCTTGAATCAAAGGTGTTTCCCTTTGAGAGGTATTTTACTAAGATTTTATCCCTTTGATTCCACCAACTCTAACTCTAAGTCAATCCCTTCGTGTGGGATTCAAACTCCTTTACAGCACAAGAAGTCAACAACCTAAGTAAAAATGTCTCTTCCTTGCAAGCTTCACGCTAAAGAGAGGCCCTAGAGCCTTACAACACTCAAGCAATCCATCATGAACCTACTCACTCAATTACTTTCAACTATTGCTAATCACATAGTAGTTGCACATCGATATATTTCACAAAAGCCTTGACTCCTTGAGTTTATACTTTCCTTCATGGTTGCAACGGCTAGTCTCCTTACTTGAATACTTCCCCTTCTTATTCAATATTTGCCTTCTAATTAGGATACATACCATGTATTGCACCATTAACACTAATACTACAAAGTATCAATTAGAGCGATTTGTTTTTCTTACCTGCTTTTTACCATCCACCGAAAGCGATTACTAACAAAGCTAGCTCCAATTTTACGATTTAAAAACTTCAAAATATGAAAGACGGGAAATAGAAAAAGAGCAACAACATGTAGGACAGTAGGAGAGCATGAAGGAATGTGATAGCTTTCTGTTTGCGTAAAGCAACAAATGAAGTGTGGCCAGAATGTGCTGCAGCATCACTCAGACACATGCGGAAACGGAAAAGATAACATGGACGGACGGAATTCAGGACGTCTGGAAAGTGCTCAATTTATTACCATGCTCAATGAAATTGCATTGGAGACCATACCAAAAAAGTTGACGATTAGGTATTTTATGACAAATTATGATTTAATCATAGTTCAAACGTTAGTACTGTTAGATATCGTATACCGATTTAACTTTCGATACTAATATTTTGTGGTTGAACCGCTAGTACAATACGAATTCATAGGCCATTGTAAGTCATAAACCAACCCTAACCTAACCTGTACTACTTGTACCGAAGCGAAGCACTGAGGCTGAGCCGACCAGCCAGCTAAAACAAGTAGAAGAAGATTAGGTTAGGTCAATGCCAACGGTTCACCAGCTGGCAGATTCCCGTTCCCCATTGTTATTTTTCTTTTTTGGTTTCTGAAAAATCTTCTTCTCTGTCTTATCTTTTAATCTTATCCCCGCCCATTGTGCTTTCTGGAAGCCGGCGTGCCTCTGCCTCCCATATTTTAATTTTACCTTTTATTTTCTTCCCCCCTGAAATTTTAACACGGAAAATTATGGGACCGTTGGAGAATCGGATGTCCGGCCGGACAAGTCATTTCGTTTTCTCCGTCCAAAATCTTATCACTATTATATGCTCTTTGCCTCCTTCCTTCATCGTATTCTGCGTTTGACTAGCTGCAATCTCCATCCCTAGGCATAATTACCATACAATGTACAACGTCATTGCGCGTGATTACTGATTAAACTTGAATTACTCGCATCTTCGCCTGGTGTTTATAGTTTTTACTTTCCCAATGCTCTGTATTTTGAATTTTATACTTACCGTTGACTATAGAACAAGATGCAAATTAAAATTTATAAATTGCTCCAATGTGTAGTTAGGAAAAATAAATATGTGTAGTAATGCACACCAAGTCATAGATAACCTTTTGCATAAAAAAAGTCATACATAATCAACACGAAATTTGCTCGGGCAAATATAAGAGCCAACATCCCATTGGTCATTACTCACTAAACAACCAATACTCTATAGTATTGCGTCAACTAGATCAAAATCAAATTACAAATCATGCATGAGTTTATCTTTCGTTGTGTTACAGTCGATCGATTCGTCTCACGCAACTATACATTCCTGTTTTGATCAAAATCTGAACTTTATAGGATGATAGTGAGTGGATTGCCAAGTTTGTGGCAAATAAAAGGTAACAACACAGACGTGCCAATGAAGGGGGATTGCAACGGGAAAGAGCCAAGTAATTGATGAAGAATAACAAACATCCCATTTATTCAGCTAATAATCAATTTCGCTCGATTTACACAACAATAATAATAATAATTCCCCCAGAAATTTTCTACATCCCGTACTGTAAATCCACACGTGTAAGCACATCAGCCCATTATTGCCCACCACAACAAATTCACAATATAGAATTAATCAACAATAATAAGGGAAATCCCAAAAGGTAATTAAGAACAACAAAGGAAGAGAAATTTTAAAAAGAAAAGGCACTAAAGAGTCAACGAATAAATAAACAGATGAAAAGATCTCAACCGCTCAATGTAATGACCATACGAAGATCTAAAGCCGTCCGCGTCCGTCCGATCATTCAAATTAAAAAAAAAAGGACAATAAACCGAAAAAGCACAGAGAAATATGGATCTCTAGGCCAAAGCGACGAAGGCGAAGAGGGCAGCCGCAACGGCGGTACCGGCGACGAAGACTCTGTCGAGTCCGGCGGCGAAGTTTCCGGAAGGAGGGACGTCAGCATTGGGTCCGGCGGCGGGCGAGCCGGCGGGGGAAGTAGGGGGAGCCGGGGGAGAAGCAGCAGCAGGGGTGGGGGCGGTGGAGGGAGCAGTTGAAGGTGCGGGAGTTGGGGATGCGGTGGGAGCTGGAGTGGGAGCAGGGGTGAGTGGCGCCGGAGCCGGTGCGGGGGTGGGAGTGGCGACCGGAGCAGGAGCAGGGGTCGCCGGTGTCGGGACGGCGGTGGGAGCCGGGGTTGGGGTGGCGGTCGGCGCCTGAGCGACGCAGGAGGTGGCCAGTAGGCCCAAGACGAGGAAGAGCTTGATCATGGCGGAATTCATGTTGGAAATTGGGTGAAGGGAAGTAGGAATTGCGAGAGAAATGAAGAGGGAGAGAGAGGGATTGCAAAAGGGGTTTTTGAGAGAGATGGAAAGTGGTAAGAGAGAGTTTGAGGAAATGCGGAGGGAGGGAAAGGGGGAATATAAAAGGGAAGAGACACAGAGAGAGAGAGGAAAATAGAAGATGGAAGGAAAGTGGTGGGAGGTTAGAGGTGTACAGCGAATATTTGCAAAAATGCTTATTTTGGATTTTGATTCTTATAACAGAGAATATCATCTTTTTTTCTTCCTTAGCTTTTCTGAAGAATCTTTTTCTTTTTCAGAAATTTGGATCTTTTGTATTTAATAGAGGGGGAAAGAAAATCCACTTTTTCATTTCTGAAAGGGTTCTTTCTTCTTTGCATATAAATTGAAGAGCCAATAAGACTGTTGCCAACTGGAAAGCGCTTCAGAAATTAAAATAATACATGAGACCTTTCAATTTATTTTCAAAACACAACAATATGAAAGTATTCCCCTGTTATCCTGCGTACTCATGCACTTCGAAATAATTGCATGTTTAATGTTGATATTTTTTTTTACGTTTATTGTTGATGTTGTTGCAATTGATCAAGCATTTTATGTTATCTCAATTATTCGTTAAATTGAGATAAAAACAAAATAATTATTTTGTTGACATGTTTACATATGCTATTGCATATCCCATCAATATAGTAATATGATTATAGTGAATATGTTCATGCCACATTACTAGCGGACTAATTCTTAATAGTCAAATTACTATATGGGGTCGTTTGGATGAGAAATTCTAATGGATCAATCTGACACAATTGTCTCGTTTTGAGTCAATTGTGCTAGATTGATCCGTTTGGCAGCATAAAATTTGGATGAAGCAATTTGGGCTGGGGAATTCTGAATTGACTCATTTTGAGCCAATTACAATTGTCTGAGGTGGGGCAGGTAATCTGAATTGACTCATTTTAAATGACTCGTTTTGTAAAATGAAACAATTGGTCAAATTGTCTCGTTTTACTATTGATCCATCCAAACCACCCATAAAAGAAATCAACCTCGAAACATTTATTAGTTAGTCAAAAAAGAAGGTAATAGTTTTTGTAAAGGGAAAGTGGAAATAGCAGTCCACTCCACCAAATATAAACAAAAATTACAGCCTTTTATTTGTTGTTTACTTTATCGTGTCTAATAATTGATTAACTATTATTAACTAATAAATTAATCACGATACGACTTTAAGGTATTATACACCTATATATAGCCATATTTTATTTCAAAATTAAAGGGCTTTTGCTGTATTATTGGGGATTTAACGTGGTAAAGCTCATGCTCAAGTCATCCAAACGCGGCGACAGCAAATAATTAATTAATTTAAACTTATTATTATTTTAATTACCTGTCGTGCTTCCCTATTCCCCACTGTCTTTCATTCATCGATAAACGTCCGACTGATCCCACAAAACAATAATATAGAGCTCAGTATTTAAAATATGGATGGTTAATAATTTGAATATTCATCACGCCAATAATTGGCCCAATACTATCACTATTTAAAAGCATTTACTATGCAAGAATAAAGACATGCTACATGTGGCTATACGATCTGGTCCGGTTAAATAGGACCAAATTCATCCGGTTCAGTCCGGTCTTTTTGAAAATATAAGGACTAAAGATTGGATTGGATACAGTCCGGTCTTGACCCGGTCCGGTCCCAACTCGGTCTGATTTTATATTGAGCTTGTGGAGATTTGAGTGGCCTAAGGCCTGAAAGAGTGAAGAATTGGTTAAGGTTTGTACTAAGTGCAAAGGTTTGTGACCGTTTATGCAAATTATCCTTAAGTTTTGGGTGTTGAGCTCTCTTATTTGGTTTTTATCCAGTTTTCGATCCGGTCCCGAACGATTTCTTTTACCTCAAATCTAGGCCCAAAGATTGGATTGTTTACTATTCGGTCTCGATCCTGATTATAAGATCCGGTTTCGAGTAAAACAAAAAAACCCGGACCAAATAGCCAGCCTAACAAGCACGACTAGCAATCTATATCTAGTGTAATTATGCAAATATACCTCAACACACCAAAAGAAGAAGAAAAAAAGTTGGGATTTTGCACGTAAAACTCGTACTGCAGTACAAATTGGGTACAAATATATAAAAAAATATGCTACCAAAGTATATAGGGTCAAGATGCAAAGTAAATGCTTTTAAATAGTGATGTGTCGTGCTCGCAAATTAGACGATCAATAGTTTTTTTTTTCATAGATAGATCGTAATAGATAGGGTATTACAAAACAGTGGAAACATAAACGCGGTAGCAACCATATGGGTCGCTACCGATGCAAGGGTCGTTTGTGCCACGCGATGGGCAGCCCTGTTAGTTCTACGAGGAGCAAAAACAAAAGAAATAAAAGCAAAAGAAGACTTCAGCTTCCGCACTTCCTCAAGCACCGCTCCTCCTCGGTCATGATTGACATCATTCTCCAATGCACGTCGGATGACCAATTGCGAATCACCACAAAAGCAAACAGCAGAATAACCACGATTAAGGCTCCATAACATTGCATCGCGCAAAGCTAACAATTCCAACAAGAATGGGTCCCAAATGCCTTCATAGAACTTACCGTATGCGCAAACCAAGGAATGGCTGCTATCAAACCCAACGAAGCCTATGCTTCCGCCCACTCCGCGCCTCGTCGCACCGTCAAATCGGACAAGAAGACCCCCAAGGGGACACGACGGACCTGCTGCTGGTTCCCTGTTCTGCCGCCCTCTAGTGGGTTGTTCCCTCGGCGCAGCAGTCGCCTCTCGCCATTCCTCAAGCTGCCGATTGAATTGACGAAATAGGGGACCTGGAAGATACTGAATTTTGTCATAAATTGACCAACATCGAGCCTTCCATATACGCCAGGTGAGGAACACTATTTCTGCAATGTCCATCTTCGAAAGCTGCATAGAGAAGAAAAGCTCATGCCACGCAAGGTCAACAGTCACACTAGCCATAGCTAGCCGAATCTGCTCCCGCCCAGCAAGATTCCAAAGAGCTCGCGCGATCCTGCATTCAAAAAAACAGTGAGAAATGGTTTCTACACTCTCTGAGCAAATCAAGCAATCATCAGATTCACATAGATGCTTCCCTTTAAGAATAGCCTGCATTGGCAGAAAGCCTCTTACAACCCGCCAGAGGAAGAACTTGAGTTTAGGAGGGACTGGCAGGCTCCAAAGTGTCTTCCAGAACTTTGTATTAAGGTGAGAGGGGAGCTGATCATACTGAAGTTGTCGACTGCCTGCTTGGAGTTGGTAGCCTGTTTTGACAGTATATTGCCCAAAATCCGAGTAGTGCCAGATGAGCTTGTCAGGTTGGGGTGCTGCTGGCAGTGGGATGGATAGGATCCATGAAACACTCTCAGGGGGTAAAAGAAGCACGAATGAGGTCTCCATTCCACGTTTTAGTAATTGGGTGAATAAGGGCAGCCACAAAGGGATTGGGAAGAGAGATACCGGGCAGCAGGGATGGAGAAGAAGGAGGGGTCGAAGGCAACCAGAGATCCTCGAGAATGCGAATCGCTGAACCGCAACCTACTTTCCATCTCAATCCCTGCTTAAGAAGATTCCTCCCTTCAAGAACTCCTTGCCAGGCCCAGGATGGGCGGGAGCCCGTAGATGCCGAGAGAAAGTCGCAGTGCGGATGATAACTAGCCTTATATAATCTTGCAAGGAGGGATTCCGGACACATCAGTAGCTTCCAAGCCTGCTTCCCAAGCATCGCTATGTTGAAAAGATCGAAATCCCTAAATCCGAGGCCTCCGTGGAATTTGCTGACACAGATTGCCGGCCAGGAAATCCAGTGCATTCCCCTCTCCTTATCTTGCCCAGCCCACCAGAATCTAGCCAATTGGCTATTAAGTCTGCGACAGGAAGACGAGGGGAGTCGAAAAGAGAACATGGTGTATACCGGCATTGCTGAGCCAACAGCCTTGAGTAACACTTCTTTTCCAGCTAGGGAGAGGGATTTAGATCGCCAGCTTTGGATACGGGCAGCAAGGTTATCTTCAACAAATTGGAATGTCTGGACTTTAGAATGCTGAATTTGAGCCGGGAGCCCCAAGCACTTGTCAAGAGGTCCAATGGAGGAAATACCAATCATGTTCGCCAAAAGGATCTTCTCTTGATCACTAACATTAGAGCTGAAACAGACTGAAGATTTCTGTAGGTTAATGCGCTGCCCACTAGCCTCCTCAAAGGGGCGCAACGACTGAAGCAGATTATCACACTCAGAGGACGTTGCCCGCAAAAATAAGTAGGTATCGTCCGCGAAGAACAGATGGGAGATAGTTGGTGCAAGCCGGTGGACCTTCAAACCATGTAACTGTTGCAGCTCAAGCGCATTATGCAGCAGGGAAGAAAAAGCCTCTGTGTAAATGGCGAAAAGGAGAGGTGATAGTGGATCGCCTTGTCGAATGCCCCGTTGAGGTCTGAAATACCCATGCTCATTGCCGTTGAGAAGAACAGTGAAAGTAACTGACGTGACACACGACCTTATCCACTTCATCCACTGAGAACCAAACCCCAAGGCTTCCATTACTGCAAAGAGAAATCCCCATTCGACCCGGTCATAAGCTTTCTCCATGTCCAGTTTAAGAGCCATCCACTTATCCCTTCCCGAATTCTTCGTCTTTAAGAATTGCATCACTTCCTGAGCAATAAGAATGTTATCAGAGATATCCCTCCCCTTGATAAAGCCATTCTGAGAGTCGGATATCACGGCAGGGAGAATAACACCAAGCCTAGAAGTGAGAATCTTGGAAATTATCTTGTAGAAAACCTGGCACAGGCTGATCGGCCGCATTTGCTTCATCAACTCATCATTAATGACCTTGGGGATTAGAGTGATAACCGTGTGATTGAAGTTCTGCAGTAGACGGCCAGATCGGAAGAAGGACAGGGTTGCCTTACAAACTGAATCTCCAATAATATCCCAATAGGTTTGGAAAAAAGGCACCAGTTAGCCCATCCAATCCTGGAGCTTGCCCGGGACCTATGCTAAAAGCAGCAGCTCGAATCTCTTCCCGAGTGATAGGGGCTGCCAGGAAAGAGTTTTGAGCATGATCAATCTTCGGTTGAAGCCCCAACGCATTGACCAAGAAGTTGGATTGAATCCCATTGGACGTAAACAGGTGTTGAAAGAAGCCAATAGAGATCCTGCCTTTGGCATCCTCATCAACATGCCGAATCTCAGCTTCATCCTGTAAGACTTCAATACGATTATGCCGCCGTCGTTGAGTAGTTGATAGGTGAAAGTGGTTCGTGTTGGCATCACCGAGTTGTAGCCAAGAGTTTCTGGATTTCTGTTTCCAATACGCTTCCTCTTGCAGATACGCCGCCACAAGCTGAGTTTCAAGGCCCTGAATCACCTCCCAATTCACTGCTGATGCGTCCCTTTCAGTCTCTATAGCAGACCTTAACTCCCTGATTTGCCTGGCAGAATTGGTAGTACCCATCCTTGACCATTCTACTAGCCGGTGCCTGACTGCCTTAAACCGCGAGTACAGCTGGAACTGCGGAGTTCCCTGTACAGAGACCTGCCATTCACCAAATACAATGTCACGTGCATCAGCATTAGAACACCATCTGCGGTCGAAATGGAACCGCGGCTTCCCTTTCCCTGCACCAGGAGTTAGTTGCAGCAAAATAATCCGATGATCTGAACCAAGGTCTGAAAGATGCGAAATCTGCATAAGAGGCCAAAGAGACATGAGATTATCAGCGACTAATGCTCTGTCTAACCGCTCTAAAATGTGAGTTGCTAACCCCTGTCTATTAGACCATGTAAACGGAGGGCCTTTATACCCCAAATCAATCAAACCTACACCATCGAGGAAGGAACGGAAGACTTCCATACCTGGAAGGAGGGTGGTCGCCCGCCCATCTTCTCGTTGGATTGCAGGAGGCAGTTAAAATCCCCTATGACCACTTTTGGCAAAGCACAAGACAAAAGTAAATTAGTAAGTTCATTAAACTGATTTTGACGAACAGATACATCACTACTAAGATGGACAAATAGGACTGCTAACAAACCCCAAACCACATGCTGAAGTTCCACGAACAAGAAGAACTCAGCTTGAGCTACTACCCGACACTGAACACTCGATGAGCAAGCTACTACTAATCCTCCTGCTGTACCAACAGGGGAGACACAATGTACAAATGGAAACCCAATACGCTGGAGTTTCTTATTTACATAATCATCATCATTCTTGGTTTCACTAAGGAATATGGCAGATGGAGAAAACCTACACACAGCTCCAAACAGAGATGGAATCGTCAAGGGTGAGCCAAGTCCCCGACAATTCCAAGCGATTAAACTCATGGCACCGGGTGGGACCAGTTCGGGCTGGTTGCCTCCACCACTTCACACTCCTCGTTGTCGATCGAAGTATCCATCTGCTCAAGGCGAGCTTTCTTTGGTATGCCAGCAGCCGCGGACTCGGCCATCAGCTCCCTATGCCTGATCATTGGGGTTGCAGTCAGTTTCTCCATGCCCCTTTCCATGGTAGGAACAATGGCAGGAGCAGGTATAACTCCAGTAGGCAAAGGATGCCTGGACTTCCCATCCTCAGCAAGATCAAGCCGCCCCTGATTCGCCCCGAGCAGCAGCAACTGCCTTTGAGCAGGAGGTTTCTTCTGTGCCGATGCGTCACCAGCTTCATGTCGTACCCACGTGTACTGCTTCCGGGTGAGCAGGGAGCGCTCATTCACCTTCGGGCCGGACTTCGTCGCAACCAGGTGCTTGCCGTAGGGTGTCACCGAGCCAGCAAGTTCCTCGCGACGGGGGCAGCTCTGCCCAATATGGCCTAAGACACCACACAGATAGCAGAACTGGGGGAGCCTTTTGTAGGTAACAGTTGCCGTGAACGATCCTATCCCGCCCTCATCGTGAGCTGCAGGAAAGCTGTCGGCAGAGGTAAACGGCCATCCAACCAAACCTTCGCACGGAGGTAGAGTTCTCCCGAGCCCGGGATGCGATGGACCGCAGCCGAATCCGTCTTCCCCAAAGCCAATCCCAGGAGAGACGCCATTTTCCTCGTGCAACATTGGGGAGGGATGTCCCAAAATTGCAGGTCGAGAGGTATTTTCCATAGCTGATCAGCAACTGTCAGAGTAACCTCCACCCACGAGGCTAGGTTAACCAGAAATTTGGGTAAGAACCAAGGGGACTGCTTCAGCACTGCGTCCATATCAGTCTCCGACGGAAAGACAAACTGGACGAGGCCCTCCGCAGCCGGGAGAACAGAGATAGCACCGCGGCAACCCCATAACCGCCCCATCGTTGTTTGGAGATGGCGAATCGGCAGGATAGAGCCAACCACCCTACCCAGAAGGGATAAGTCGTTGCGTTCGGCGCCAGCAACAACATCAGCATCCCCAAAGACCACTGCATTCACTCCAGCCATGGCGCAAGACCGTGAGTAGAAGAACAAGAAAATTTTTTGAATTCGGAAGAAATTGAGCAAGGATACTCGAATTGGCGATGGAGAACGCATCAGCCACCATGGTGGCTTTATAACCCCCATCGTTCCACGGCCCGTTGCCGCCGGGACACGATGGCGTAGTGCCAGTTACGGCGAGGCGCATGTCGGCGACGTTTCCTCTCCCACTCTCCACGATAGAGAGAAAGGAGTTTTTTTTATCAATAATATTCTCTATAATCCTTAGACGATCAATAGTTTGCATAAATTAGGATATCAATTTGGTTCATAGAAACAAATACATTATTAATCAATAATCTTAAAAGGGAGAAGAATTGCTACCAGAATTTGAACGTCGTAGTACCATAAGCTAATTAG